TAGAAAAATATGGGATAGACAGCATCACCACCAGATGGATTTGTAACTGGCTGACAAACCGTACTCAACGAGTAGTCAATGGTGCTACATCTACATGGAAGTAAGTAAGCAGTGAGGTACCACAAGGTTTTGTTTTGGGCCCAGGACTCTTCAATATCTTCATAAATGACTTAGATGAGGGAATAGAAGAGGAACTCATCAAATTTGCAGATGACACTAAGCTGGCAGGAATAGCCAACACCCCAGAAGACAAGCTCAGGATCCAAAATGATCTTGACGGACTTGAACAATGGGCCCTATCCAACAAAATGAAATTTAATGTGGAGAAAAGCAAGGTTTTACACCTAGACAGGAAAAACAGGTACAAGTACAGATTAGGTAAAACCTGTCTCAAAAACAATAACGCTGAGAGGGACCTTGGAGTCCTAGTGGACTATCACTTAAGCATGAGTCAGCAGTGTGCGGTGGCAGCCAAAACTAATACCATCCTTTGTTATATAAACAGAGGCATACAATCAAAATCATGTGAAATATTAATAGCGGTTTATAAAACCTTAGTAAGGCCACACTTGAAATACTGCATCCAGTTTTGGTCACCACATTACAAAAAAGATGTTGAGACTTTGAAAAAAGTTGCAAAGAAGTGCAACAAAGATGGTTAAAGGCCTGGAGACAAAAATATATGAAGAACACTTACTGGATTTGGGTTTGGCTAGTCTAGAAAAATGAAAGGATTAGGTGGGACATGATAGCAGTCTTCCAGTATTTGAGGGGTTGCCACAAAGAAGAGGGTGTCAACTTTTTTTCCAAAGCTGCAGAAGGCAGGACAAAAGCAACAGGTGGAAACTAATCAAGGAGAGGAGCAACCTGGAATTAAGGAGAAACTTTCTTACAGAACAATTAACCAGTGGAACAGCTTGCCTTCAGCAATTGTAGGTGTTCTATCACTGGAGGTTCCTAAGAAGAGACTGGACAGTTACTTGTCTGAAATGGCATAGGATCTCCTGCTTAAGCAGGGGGCTGGACTAGAAGACCTCAGGTCCCTTCCAGCTCTATTCAACAATGGAGACAAATTAGACTCTTTAGTGTTTTCACATGACAGAGAAGACTACAAAGACACATGCAAGATCTGCACAAAGCAGGAGAAATTGAAAAAGAGCCAGATTATGTTTAACAAATTCACCAAAGAAATAATTTTTTTATACCTGTAGAGACTAAATGTAGTAGACCACTACATATACCTTGACCAATGGATCTCAATAAAAGGTGATACAATAAAGGAAATTGAATGGTGTGTTAAATGTTTAACATAATTTTCAAGAACAACCTCCCCCTATGCTTGAAGATAAAAGTTTTTGATCAGTATGTACTACCTGCTCTAACATGCCAGTGAAACATGGACACTAATCTCACAATTGATACAAAACCTATGAGTGGCGTAAAGAAGGATAGATGCTCAGCATCACAAGACAAGATAGAAAGTCCTGCACATGGATTAGAGAACAAACCAAAGTGTATGATATCGTCAATAGAGTCAAAGAATTGAAATGGAAACGGGCTGGTCGCCTAGCAAGAAGAACAGATGGCAGGTGGACCAAGGCAGTCATAGAATGGATCCCACTTGATCAAAAGCATCCATGAAAGAGACCTAAAACGAGATGGATCGACAATATCAGCAAGTATTGTGAGCCCAATTGGCAAAAGAAAGCTCAGGATCACATTGGTTGGAAACAGGCAGAAGAGGCCCTCATCTTGCAGTGGATAGAATGATGATGATGGATGAAATGTCATGCTGTTGCCTATTTTTAACTAAATAATCAAAATCTCATGATGTATTTTTATCAGATATTTTGCTGAAGTCAGGATAAATTATTCAGCATTCTATAATCCAAGCAATTAACCATTCAAAGAGGAATTAAGAATAGTTTGATAAGATTTGTTCTTGAAAATCCATGTTAACTTCTAGTAATTAACAAATACAAGGGTTTGGTGATTCAAATACGGAAGACCTCAACTTAAATCCACAATTGGGACTGGAATCACAGTTGTTTAGCAAAGTGGTTCTTAAGCAAGATACCCACGAGACCATTTTTCTCTGACTCCGGTCCTGGTTCTCCCAGTTACAGTTCTTAAGTAACCATGCTGGTTGTTAGGCGAATGGAGCTGAAGTGAGGTCCCTGCCTAAAGGGCAGGAGGTTCCCACCATGTATGGGCTGGAGAAACAAAGCTCTGATCTCAAAGATTGTATCTTTTTGCAGCTTCACTTATTCCTGCCCCTCACCCATGAGGTGGAAGGGAAATCTTTTGGCAGCCGGCAGCAGCTTGCAATCTTCCCTGTTGATTTCCCTACTGATTTTCCAGGGAAGCTGGCAGAGAAGATTGTGATCACATGATCTCAGGGTCCTTGGCAACCGATCTTCAGTGTGAATAGGTTGCCCAGCATCCAGATCATGATCTTGTGATCGATGGTGTGTGTATGTGACCTACACAATGTTTTACAGAATCCAGAATTGCTTTACAGAGTGTAAAGCAGTCTTTCCAAGCCTTCGTAACTTAAAATGACCAGTCATTAGTTGAGGTTACCAACATCTGAGTAGCTTGGCATCCAACATCTATTGCATGATATATGTATAGATCTTTCCCATCTATTGCACATAGATTCAATAGGGATATAAGCTTCATGGGAAAGCAGGAAATAGCAATAGTGCTTAGACAGCCTCTCTAAGCAGTTTACAGAGTCAGCATCACTTTATCCTATGGAACAAGCTCCACTAGAAATGTGGATGGCTGTGTCACTACTGAACTTGAGAATTCTTAAAAACAGTCAACAGAAAAAGGGTCTTATTTTGTAAAAAATATGGTGTATTTGGGCCGTTCTAAAGATTGTTTTTTATTTCTATATTACTGTTACTTCATTTTCATTTTTTTGTACACCATCTTTTGTCCTTTTGGAATTGGCAGTGTTTTTTTTTAAAATAAACTATATCAGTTAGTATCCAGGCAGGAATGCTGTTCATATCCTGGAGTATTAAATTCAAGTAAAGATATATTTCCTGACCATGTTTCTGTCAAACTTGAGCTTTAATCCTGATGCTTCACAATTTCATGGTGGAACACAGAGCTTTTGTTGCAGAAGCTTGAACAAAGCATTGTTACTGCCTTTCTTTATTGTCTGTTATCATTTTCCTTTCTTCATTGAGCAGATGGTATATTGGTATGTTTCCTTTCCCCATTTTATAGTTTATTGACAAGTTACACTGGGAGCAAATGTTAAAATTGAATTTTTGACTGAAAATGGAGTAGGCATTCACTCCATTATTTGTTATCTAGAAATATGTTTAATGCAATGTCTTGTGACATTGTACAAATTTTTAAAATTTGGAAGTAAAATCTTTATTTTTGCTTGTCTGAAAGTAGCAGAAAACATCTTCTGTACAATTATATCTTGCTTTAGCTTTCAAAACTTTCCTAGTAATTTGCTCTTTCCTAGAAGATCATTTGTGGTACAATTGCAGATTGTTATTTTTTCCCTCCTCTTCTAGTCCTGTAAAGCCTAAACGGATATTAATTCAAGAAGCAGACCTTGAGTTAAGAAAAGCAAGATACGTTAATGCCGTACTTAACCATGCTACCTCTGTCCCGTCTCTCATAGGTAAGTGCAAAGGTAAAAGGTGAGTTGTGGGTGGTGGAAACATCATAACGTTATTATGGAGATGGGCACATTCCAGGCTTCTTGGCTATCCTTTCCACTGGGATGAGTGGGATTTGTTCCAGAAAAGCCTTCCTTTCTTGCTTCCATTTCATCCAGGCCAGAGATGAGGGTCAGGTGCATGGAGGTTTGTGTGGAAGCTTAGAAATCTTCTAATAGAGTTCCAGAAGGAATTTTCCTTTTAATTTGAATTCGCAGAACATACCTAGCTTTATAAATGAATTAACTTGCAACATACATTGAAATGTAAACTAAGCAACATGCTGGATTCATGCAATACACCAAAGTTTGTTCCGACCAAGTTTCAGCATGTTGTGTGAGAGTACAGTCATTTAGTCTTTATATCAGGGGTCAGCAACCTTTCAGATCTCAGGGACCACTAAATTCATAATTTTAATTTTAAATCCCACAAGCCATTAATATGAATCTAGCGTGCCATGGAAGCGCTTGGACTCCCAGTGATGGGATGGGATCCTTCAGGCACTTAGCTTCGCCACCTGTTTCTGTAACCTTAAATACTCAATTTGGACCCATTTCCCACAGAAAACAGAACTCATCTGTTTCTTGCTCTCTCTCTCTCATCTCTTCCCCACTGTCTCTCTCTTTCTCTCATCTCTCTCCAATCACTCCCCCCTCTCTCGGTCATCTCTCTTTCTCTCCTCTCTCTCTCTAATCACTCCCCCTCTGTCTGTCTTGTCTGTCTCTGTCATATCTCTCATTCTGATTCTCCGGTGCTCTCTGGGTCTTGCGGGTGCTTCTTCAGCCTTTGTTGGTGCTGGATGCACCTTCATGCCTCGGGGAATCGCATGACCTGCTCTCTGCCTTGAGACACTGACCCCATCCGGCTGCAGCTCACGCTCCACGTCATAATGGGCTCCAGGAGGAGGAGGGGATGCTGTTTCCCCACTGAAGTGCGCTAAATTTAACTATACAATACAATAGCAGAGTTGGAAGGAACCTTGGAGGTCCTCTAGTCCAACCCCTTGCCTAGGCAGGAAACCCTATACTGTTTCAGACAAATGGCTATCCAACTTCTTCTTAAAGACTTCCAGTGTTGGGGCATTCACAACTTCTGGAGGCAAGCTGTTCCACT